CTTGTATTGAGTGCTGCGATGTATATGTACAATAAAATATTTATGTCTGCGACACAAATTTCGGAGTTGTTCCGAGCGATTTAAAAATAGATTTAAATTAATGATGTCTCCTGTCATCTCTCGAAAGTTACGGGCTTTTTTGTAAGAGTCGAGACTTGCGCGGAGTCGCGGAGCGAATCACGCGATCCGCATTTAACTTCTTCGCGACTTGTACCGTCGATAAGCGCGTATTAAGTAACGATAAGCCGAGATGCGGTTACGAAAATCCGTTCGAGTCACCTGAGAACTTCCATCACGACGACGAGCGGGGCGGTACCTTATCAATAATCAAGCGCTTCTCCCCCGATCGCGTTAACGAAAGTTTCGCGATTATCGCGAAAAGAGAAAATAGAGAAGATGAAGCGGAAACGGGGAATCGCGAGCAGGGGACAGAATGTAGCGGAAACTATGCAGTTGCACTTTCTCACAGATCACAGTTCGGGGTGAGTGCGGATGAATATGCCGGGGAAGTTTCCGCGTTGTCCGTCTTTTCGTATCGAAGAGGTGAAATTTTTTTTTTTTTATTTTATTGAGGAACGAAAAGTTCCTTTTTTCAACTCTAAGTGATATACATCACCTTCAATGGGGAAAGGAGTCGATAAATCTCCCATTCATGAACGTCCAGAGGGATGATTGATCAAATTTCTTTGTTGCGAAACGCGAAACCAATCGGAGGAAGATGTTCAAGAAATGCATTCATCATTTGTTTCACTCGCACATCGATATGTGGACATCTTAATAATTAGTGATGAAAACCATCAATAATTAATTGGAACGGCAATTTTGTTTATAATAAATTTAGCGACAAGAAAAAATGTAAGGAGTCGTCGATGTGCATAGACTTTTTAAATATATTATCCTATATTAAAAAAGGCATTTGGACCGAGAAGTGCGCGTTTTGGAGCCAAATGTATCGCATCTATTGTTGCCTCTTTTCCGCGTTGTCGATTGGTTGGTTGGTTGGTTGATCGAGTCGAATTGAATCGGTAAGATCGAGAGAGTAAATAATGAAAAGCGATTTTGAGACAGTTTGTCGTATATGTAGAGAAAATTAAAAACGTGACTAAAGTCACGTGACAGGAAAGAGTAGAAAAACAACACGTGAAAATAACGTGACTGTAATTTATATTATATATAACATTAAATAATACATATTATACATATAATTTATTATATATTTATAATATTATACTTTATATTGTATTATATGTATTATATATACATACTACTATGACTAGTAATGTCACTGACCTCGGCCGCGCGGCCTTGGCGGGTTCACTGACCTCGGCCGCGCGGCCTTGGCGGGGTCACTGACCTCGGTCGCGTGATTACGGTATATATATATATAATACGGTATATGTATCTATGTATAATATTATACATAATATATATAATATTCTCTCTTTTCCTCTTTTCCCTGTCACGTGACTTTAGTCACATGGTGTTTTTCCACTCCTCTTTTTCACCATTTTTCAAGTTTGATTTTAATGCGTTGTTTCTGACATCTTTCATATGTACATTATGTGTATTATATTGTTTGCAAGACGTATATACTAGCTGTCATGGCGGTGACAGGTTCACTGACACTACACGTTAAAATAAAAACAATAATAGCGTGCGCGTAGCGCGCGCCTGTGTTGTGCTAGTAAATATAAATTGCGGTCACACACACACACACACACAGTGACTTTTACATTATCTGATTTTTATTATTTTGTCACTAATTATATTATCTACCGGTATTAGGAGCTTCATGGAGAAAAGCTGTTTCTCACATTCACTGTTTGACGGCTTAAACTGAGGATTATTTTGGAACGACATACATGCTCACATCGATAACTGACGTATTCGCTTCGACTCTCACTCATAGGTAGCTTGATCTCTTAGGTAGCTTAAACACAAACGTTTAGTTTGTGCATTGTCAAACGCGATGCGTGAATTATCCTAATGGACGCAAGTACAAACGGGAACAGAAATGTCAATAGGAAGACGATCAAATCGGATTGACATGGATTATCACATTGATTAGTTTATCTCTGTCTGCCTATTTCTCTCTCTCTGTCTCTCTCTGTCTCTCTCTTTCTCTCTCTCTTTTATTATGTACTAACACTATATATTAAATTTTACAAACAAAAGCTATTTTGAGAAAATGCGTGTTCTCTCTTACAAGTCAAGTAAATCTCGAAGATCACTTAAACTAGATTTTCCCTTGATTTTCAATCACACGTAACTTTCTTAATATATCAAACAAGACGCGACCAAGAGGTATCAAAGGAACAGAACCTTATCTTGAGCGGAAAGAGGTACAGGTATTCTCTTCACGTGCAGAATAAACTGATATCTTGATCCCTTGACGCGGATATTAAAAGAGAGCATGTTAAACCCTCGCGGGCGATACGAGATCCGGCGGAAGAGAGAGAGAGAGAGAGAGAGATTCCTTTCTCGCGCAATGAAGAACTCGGAATATTTACTTTTTCCTAGACGTACCTACCGGCACTCACTCTCCAGACGTAAAGAAACGAGTTATCGGTAAATTCGGGCGAGAAGATTAGCCGCGTGTATGCAAAGAAGTGCGAGAGGGCGCGCCGACGAAAGCGAGAACTGTATTCGCGCTAAGTGCACGTGAAATTTCCAGCGAGAAAAGCGAGGTGTAAAACTACTACTGCCTTAACCCGCGAGAGAGAGAGAGAGAAGAAAGAGAGAGAGAGAGAGAGAGAGAGAGAGAGAGAGAGACTTGAGAGAAAAAGGTAGAGTAGAAGCGATGGAAACGCGTAAGTAATAGCTCCGACGGCAAACCTGATAGAATGAACGGATAGGTGATGCCGCTTTTATTACCTCTCGCGGGCTTCAGGAGTCGGAAGTGCTAAAATGCGAGGAAAAAGGAATGAGATTGGGAAATACAGCGAGAGGGAGAAGAAAGAAGCGAAAGTTTACCCCTCTTTTAAGTTTTCCTCGCGTCTTGCAGAAATCCCGCTATCAACGATATTGCTATAGTCCAACTTGTCGGAAAGCTCGTCTCTCTCTTTCTCTCTTTTTCATCTCTCGATGAATTTTGAAATTTTTATTATCTCACTTGCGTGGATGTTTTTGTAACGCAACATGAAAGTAATAAACAAATATATCTCTTTGATATGTCCATCATATGAATCCACACATTCGGTTTTGTTCACATAAATGTAATAGCGACAACGCGCAGCGTATTCAATTTCCCGTATCTTTCGATGTAAACACAATATCAGATTTCTTTTGAAGAAGAATATCTGCATTATTTTTGTTTTGATCGAGAAATTGCAAGTAGAATAGTTTTTAAACGTCTCCTTACTGTATCTCGCCTTTTTATTTATTTATTTTTTTCTATCGAATGTTGAAAAGTGGCGTGCTTTTAGGTTTAAACAGGATCTGGATTAAGCGGAACTTTGAAGAGAGTCTCGTTCTCTCAGGAAAATGTTTTAAAAACTTTTATCGCTCTCGCAAGAAAAAAAAACAATATAAAATCGATACAAGTACATAGTTAAGCGTTCTTATCTAATCATTTCGAAATTATTGAGAGTGTCGCGAAGTTTCTACGACATGCGCATAAATTTACATTCCTTTACACCCAACTCAAACTCGATAACCGATAAATTGTCCGAATCAAATTATCGTGTTGATTTACAAAATGTCTGTGAAAAATAAACATTTCATGTTATAAAAAATGTCTTTAATCTGCAAAAAACTGTGTCGGCGCCCAATAACGTCGTTTCCAATTAAAATACACAGAAATAGTTCTGTACAACCAAGTGATTGTAGATGAACACTTTCTTGTAAAAGAAAAAATCATATCCTAATCACATCTCTCACGTTACTTACATGTGCGCTCGCAGACAAATAATTTACTTTCCAACAAATTGCATTCAAGATTCGTAATTTTAATCTATCGCTCACACACAGACGGACTTAACTTTGAACGTACTTGATTATTCGAAGGAAATATAGTTGAATATATACTCGCGAGTGAAATAATATATGTATATCATGTTCTCGTATAATGAAAAGGGTTTTTGATATTCTGACTCCTCTACTGGTCAAAAGGGCTCTTCAAAGAGAACGCATTTCGCGTTCATCATCCGTCCACGATTCCGTTTAGGCTTTTGTACATACTCACACATGTACGTCGTCGTCGTCATCGTCGTCATCGTCGTCGTCGTCGTCGTCGTTTCTAGTAATATACCCTTATCCTTATTTTCGTCGCTTTTTATACGAAATTGGTAAAAACATCGTGCAGTATCTCTCTATATTGCAGCGCGCACTGACGCGTTCCCGCACACGTGCGCCTTCGAGACGCGGAGTGTGCGTGTCTCGCGAGAGGGTGCGAAGAGAGAGAGAGAGAGAGAGAGTGTATCCTGAGAGTATTATTGCGGTGCTGGCCGGTCGATCAGAAGAGAGGGTGGGCACATAGAGCAGATACATCAGCGGGTTGGCGTTTATGTGGCGACCAACTGTCGAGTTAATATTCACGCGATTCGGCGGGTCGGATCTCCCCTGCCCTTCTTCTCAGAGATCGCGACGATGACGACGACGTCGTGTAATTCTCGATTTCGACCCAGATCTTCCTCTCTTCTCGTCTCGAAGTCGCGAACTCTCTTGTATCGAGTTATATTGGAAAAATTCTAATTATATAACTTTTTTCTTTTTGTGTAAAAGGAATATTGAAAAATAGGTTTACGAAAAGTATATAGTTATTATACACACGTTTTTGTAAGACGGTATTTCGTAAAAGTTGTGATTCTTTTACAAAATTATTCTTTAAGAGTTTAGTTGTGATAAGATGAAGAAATTATTCTTCAGTTTTGTGTAGAAAATGTTACTGTAAAAAATGTTACTTTATATGCAACGTATATATATCTCGATTACATTGTTGACTATATTGTTTTATTTTCTTTTATGCGTTCTTATAATTCAAACACGATTTATTGTTACAGTACGTATGGCGTATGGCTTACCTTATGGCATGGCATCGCGGAACGTCGCACTGTGCATTTTCGTCGCCGCTTCTCTCTACGTCAGTCTCGGTAAGACACGCAAACAGTCAATCAAAATTAAACTCGATCTTCTTGCGAAATAGATTTGATTTCTGATCCCAAAGTGCCAAAATTACAAATAGCACGCGATATCATATATGTACATAAATATATAACGATCTAGTTGCGCGATTTCGTCCGATTCGAAATCGTTAAAATTGATATTCACACGAAGATGACGCGAAGAAGAAGAACGAACAAATTCACATGGGAATAAGCGTTTCAAAGTGCGATGTAAGTAAGTAGGTAGGGAGGTAAGTAGGTAGGTTTGGTACTATCTCCGTGAAAAAGATTCTTGAGGAAACGGAAAAAGAATCGATCGGAAGTTACGAAGAGACAGAAGTTTCGAGGTTTTAATCCCACACGAAATGACAAAATCTCCTTCCTTCCCTCGTCCGAATTCCGCAACAGTATCGTGCCGTTACTTCGATGTTGCCTTCCATTGTTTGCTCCAGTTTTCAGGTAAGAATCAAATAGAATATTTCCGAAGACATCGGGTGAGTATAGCTTCGCGTTTCCGTGAAAGCTTAAAAAGAATCTTTGCTTAAAACCAAACGGGGATTGCAAAGTGGAGCAAGTCACTGACTTTTCTCCTGTCTTGAAAGAGTAGAAACGTTTGCGGCCTGTGTTTCTCTGTTTGGTGATTTTTTTTGTTTATTTTTTTTTTTTTTTTTACTCTCGACGTATTTCGCATGAGAAACAAAAATTTAATTTTAAGGTTGAAGAAATTCGGAGTACGAGCCAAAAATTTTTTCGAAATAAAAATCTTTGGAAAAAAAAACTAGATTTTTGAAACAGAAAATAATTGCAATTGTAAAGAATGTAATATATGAGAATTTATGCCAAAAATTTAGAGAATCGTTTATCTGTTTATCGCTTCAATTTTCATCGAACGTTTTCTATGATATTTGGTTTTACCATAGCGCAATAGACGCAAATTGCAATAGTTATCGAGTGCTCGGTTCGCGCGCCAGCAAAAATACTGCCGGGTCTTCGGGGTAGCTTTTCCACGCGATAGATCATGATAGATGATGATTACTCTACAAGTCAGTGAACTTTCGCTCGGCCGTGTTCCACGTGATTAATAAACACTTCGTTTCTCGCGAAACTTTCTCCTCCTCGCGTGCGCTCGTTTCGAAAAGTTACCTTAGAAGGATACAGAAGAAACACATTTGTATGTTTTTTGTTCATTTGTTTAAAATGCTCATCTTGTTATTGTAAGAATAATCAATATGCGCGAGTGTAACGTCGTGAAACGTCACGTCACGTTGAATTAGATTAGCACACACGGTTACACGAAAAGTAAATATCGCCCGATGTAACTTCGAAGATCGAAGACTTTGCGAGAGAGAGAGAGAGAGATTTGATATGACCGACAAACACTATATGTATTTTTTGCAGCGCACTGATTTTTTCACGCCGACATATTTCGCGCGCGTAATAAAAAAAAAAATCCATTCCAAAAAATTCGTACGAATGATGGTGATAGAACGATGGGAAGTGTAAAAGCGCATCAAAAAATTTGTAGAGATTAAAAATTTAAAAAAATACACATAGAAATAAATGAAAACGTAGACACTGGCTTCGCTCTAAAATTTTAATAATTTTTATTGAAAAAAACGTAAGTTTTGTCTGGATCACGTTGTGTACAGACGACAGCCGGCAGCCGGGTGGCATCGAACGCGCGGCGCGGAAAGAATTATGATTATTGCGCGGTGATGTGGTGGAACCGGCGCATAAATAACGCGCGTGATCCAGATTAAATTTTGCGCGCGGGCGCGCACAGTCGCAAAAAGATGACGGCCAGTCTTATCGTATTCGGCAAGCAGTTCCCGAAATTTTACCTTTAATACCGCATGTTCATACATCATATTCGTAACCGGGTGGCATATCGACCGAGCGGCAAGTTGGCCGAGCGTAAGCCAATTAAGGATCAACTTCGTTAATTTCGGATCGTTAGTTGCGCAACCGGCGCTTAATCGTTAATTGTGCATGATTCAGGTCAAACGCCACCCAAGTCCGAGGTCCTGCCCGAATTTCTGGCACTCTTGGAAAACCACACGGTCACTCAAGGTCGCGACGTCTCCTTCACCTGCGTCGTTAATCATCTTCAGTCTTACAAGGTAAATGCGTGTATCCTTTACTTATCTCGCTTTGCGCGCGTGTAATTAACCGGCCAATTAAGGACATCGAAAATTTATGCAGGCATCGTGGCCTCTAAATCGCGTTTTCGCGTAACACACTCGACTCGCGGCGGTCCAAAGAATTGTCAGGTAATTGCGAGAAGTAACAGCTTGCGCGGGATATAATGTTCTGTGACAAAACTGTATTAATTTTGATATATATATACAGTAGTGTTATTCGCCGATTATTAAAGCAAAGTCAAATATATATTTCAAATAAGTTCATTTCACTGGAGAATCTAGGACGGAAGAGGAAAAGCTTATACGGGGTAGAACTCCAGTAATTTCAAGCGCATACGACCAATTCTTCCTAGAATTCGAAATTATTTTCTTCCCCCTCCAATTAGCTTACCATCCGGTAGCAAGAGACGAAAAATACATGTTTCTCCGTCTCTTAGAACGGGAATAGACGAACATTCTACGAGTTGCGCAGTCACTCAAGGGGAATCATCACTGTGGGGGAATTTATTGGCTTTCCCTTTCCTTCATAAAAAGGAGAAGTCGAAATTGTGATGCTTGAAATTACTGAAGTTCTCTATCGTATTTCGTAAATGAAACTAATTCAACATAGCAAAAACTTAACTACTTACTAGAGTTTCGAGACGTTAACTGATATCTTTTAAGTGCGCGTGTTTAAGGAAATGATTGAAAGTTTATACCGCGGACACACGAGAGATTACACCAACCAATACACATGTTACACTGCGTTGTGCTGAATGTAAAAAACAATTTGCATATAAAGAGGTAAGTCAGCTATCGCGTAAGAGTGTCACGTACGCGTTGACTTTTTTGAGCTCCCAAGAGAGAAGAAGCCGCGAGCGACGCGTTGCGGCGCCACAAATGTCAAGATGTTTTCCTTGGATCTGCATAGCGAAACAATGCAAGCGGAACCGCCGAGAATTCGACACATTTTCCAACGGGAACGCGGCAAGAGAAACGGAGCAACGAGAAAACCAGCGCTTATACACAGTTTGTCCGGAAAGTTCCCGGACTACGTGAATTAAAAATCGAAAATGAAAGATATGGTTTATTAAACAAGTTTACACTTCA